ATCAACCCTCTATCCAGCCCTGCGTCAGCAAGGCCTCCCAGAGTCACCTAGGAACTAGCAGTGATTTTTGGCAAAGTGACACCAATGATAATGAAATATGATAAGCCCCTTTTAACATAAAAGATAGTCCTGCTACCTCTAAGCCCAAATGAAACCTCACATCTGATCAGTGTTAAGAAAGAGAAAGGATTAGGGTGGCACCTGTGGCTCAGTGAGTTGGGTGCCACCCTATATACCCGAGGGTGGTGGGTTTGACCCCGGCCCCAGCCAAACTGCAACAAAAAAATAGCCAGGCATTGTGGTGGACGCCTGTAGTCCCATCTACTCAGGAGGCTGAGGCAAGAGAACCGCCTAGGCCCAAGGGCTGAAGGTTGCTGTGAGCTATGACAGCACAGCACTCTACTGAGGGCAACAAAGTGAGACTCTGTCTCAAAAAAAAAAAAAAGAAAGAAAGAATTATACATACAGGACAGGGGATTAGGAGATATTATAGACCAAATGTTGCATCCTCCCAAAACTGATATGTTGAAAACCTAAGCCCCCGTGTGATGATATTTGGATGTGGGGCCTTTGGGAGGTGATCATGGAGTGGAGCCCTCATAAATGGGATTAGTGCCCTTACAAAAGGAGTCCAGAGAGCTAACTAGCTCTCTGTTGTATGCAGATCTAATGAGAAATTGGCTACCCTCACCCCAGAAGGGGGCCCACACCAGAACATGACCCTGCTGCCACCCTAATCTCAGATTTTCAACCTTCACAACTGTGAGAAATAAATTTATGCTGTTCATAAGCAACCATCATTATGATATTTTATTCTAGCAGCCCAAACTGAATAAGACAGAGAATTTGGAGTGGTACCTACAGCTCAAAGGAGTAGGGTGCTGGCCCCATATTGCCAGAGGTGGCAGGTTCAAACCCCACCCCAGCCAAAAAAAAAGACAGAGGATTTGCTTTGTCAGGAAGGCCAGAGAAGTTTTGACCTGAGATCTGAATAATAAATAGAGATATGAACTAGGCAAAGATGGTGGGGGGAGTATGTGCAAAGGTCCTGTGGTAGAAAGGGCCATGATGAGTAGGCAAGATCCAAAGAAGTCAGTGTGACTGGGGGCAGGGAACACGATACATGATGGGGCTGGGATTTTAAGGGTCATTTTGCACAACATAGTCAATGTTCAGGAATTGTTTTTTGTTCACTTGCTTTCTTTCTATCCTTCAAGCAAGTGAAAGCTCCTGACACATTTTAAACAGGAAGGCAGCATAAGCAGGCTGACCTTCCAAGATGATCACTCTGAATACAGCATAGAGAATGAAGCACAGGGGGCAAGAATGATGTGGAAAACCAAGTAAGAGAACATTGTAATAGCCCAGGTTTCAGATGATAGGAGTTTGAGCCAGAATGGAAACAATGGCCGGATTTGAGAAAGATAGATTTAGAAGGAAAAATCACTGGCCCTGGAGACAGTTTGGAAAATAAAGGGAGAAAGGTAAGTCTAAAAATAGCCCCTACATTTCTGGGCTATGCAACTTGGTGGAAGAACCATGTTGAGAGGAGAAGATGATGAGTTTGGGTTGGGGTAGGTTGTGTTTAGGATGCTCTTGAGAAATCCAAGAGGAAACATGCGGGAGGAAGTGGGTGGGCAGGTTAGAGTGAGGACCAGGCTGGACATGGAAATCTGGGGGCCATTTGCTTGAATTTAGTGAAAGCCATGGATGTAAGCAGAGAAAGTGCGGGTTCAAGGAGAAAATAGGATTAGGTAAAGTAGAATATGCCTAAAAGGTGAGAGCATGGTCAGAGGTGTAGGAAGAGAATAGGGGCAGAGGGAGGGGGCGCTCCCAGAACCCTTTCCAGAAGAACACCAAGAGGTTGTGAAAGATGAGGCCTGAAAATAGGTCCACTAGCGTGGTTGATACAGAAACCACAGTTGAGCTTGGTTACAAAAATAATTATTAATAATAAAAGAATTCTCAAGAAGAGTTCTTTGGTTCAAAACCAAGTTTGGTTTTGAGGAAAAAAACATATGGCTTGAAAACATTTGTTTTTCCTGAATTTGCTCTTACAGTGAAAAAAAAAACATTCACTTTAGTGATCTAGAGTCGATCAGGTTGGAGACTTGTAAGTAACTCTTAAGTAGATGAGGAAAAAATAGAGTAGAACCAGATTAGGAAGGGGAGAGAGTCTCGTGGTACTGAGCGGGCAGAATCTGGGTCCCCTCTGCATTAGTTTCCTAGGGTTGCTATAACAAAAATATATTCTTTAATGGTGCTGGATGCTGTAAGGCAAAACTCGAGGCGTTGACGTGGCTGCCCTCCCTCCAAAGGCTTTCTTGTCCCTTTCAGCTGCTGGTGGCTCCTTGGCGCGTAGCACCTAAGTGTAATCCTTGCCCGTGATATCACATGTTCTTCTCCTCTTCTCTTCCCATCTACAGACACTTGTCATTGGATTTAGGGCCCACCCTAATCCAAGATGAGCTCATCTCAAGATCCTTAACATTATTATATATACCAAGATTTTTTTCCAATAAGGTCATATTTTCAAATTTCGATGGACATATCATTTGGGAGCCACCTATAATCCTAGCATTCTGGCAGGCTGAGGCAGGAGGATCCCTTGAGTTTAGGAGTTCGAGACCAGCCTGAGCAAAAGTGAGACCCTGTCTCTACTTAACATACAAAAATTATCCAGGTTTTGTGGTGGGCATCTGCAGTTCCAGCTACTCGGGAGACTGAGGCAAGAGGATTGCTTGAGCCCAGGAGTTTGAGGTTGCTGTGAAGTAGGCTGATGCCACAACACTCTAGCCTGGGCAACAGAGTGAGACTTTGTCCCCCACTCCCTCCATAAAGGCACTTGTTTGCTACAGTGCACTTGGTTGCTACAGTATTTTTTGGTAATATTTTAATAATAATAGATGGAATCTCTGTCCTCCAAAGAGCTCATAGAACTCTGTGTACACGTTTAACTTGTCCTCACAGGACTTCAGAAAAGCACTTTCAGATATCACTTCACCATGTTTGGGGAAACCAAGGGATGAAGATGGTAAGTGAGTGCTGTGACCTGTTTCGGACACAGGTGACTTATCTGTTCACATCATCACAAAAGACACTTAAGACTTAAAATCGTTCTTTAAAAGTTAGTCTGTAGCCAAGAAAAGAATAGGGTGCAGGCTTTGTTTTCTGGGTTCTGTGTTTTCTCTGGTAAATCCGTGATTCCCCAGCTAGTAATTAAGTCAGCTTGTTACATATTCACCTTTCTATCCTGAATCAGACTCCCAGAATCGGGATCTCCAGGTGGTAGGGCCATGGCATTGTTGAGCAATGCCATGTAGCAGCCCCCCACTTTTTGAGGCTCAAACCCATTAGGGACCCCCTGCTATGGGCCCTCTGGGAGCTCTGCTTGGCTACCTCTTATTCTGGTTTCTGAACCATCTGGCAGTTCCCAGTGCTATCTGGACATGTTTATGATGATCCATTTCCACCTAATAGATAGGTATTTTCTCTCCCTTACGGTTTTCTTCATAATGCTTTCTTTTCACCATCTTACTTTATTGGAAGAATACAGTCTGTATGCCTGTAACATTCAAAATACATGCTAATCGACTGTTTGCATTATCAGTACAAGGTTTCCAGTCAACAGTAAGCTATTAGTAGTTAAGTTTGGGGGAAGTCACAAGTTATACATGGATTTTTGACCGCACATGGAGTCAGCACCCCTAACCACTGTGTTGTTCAACGGTCAACTGTGCTGACGTTTGATTAAGGATGTGAGAGTTGGTTTGGCTGGAATAAAGTGGGAAGAATGTGTAGGCATCAAGTGTCTCCAGCAGGCCAGTGGAGAGATAAGAAGCTCTAACTGGAAAGAAAACAAAGATGACAACTAACTTTACCCAGCTTGTTAGGATTAGGCTGGCCCCAATCAAGAGACTATGCATGATTACTTAGTAAGAGTGACCCGAACTTGTTATTTTTTTTTTTCCATGAGTATGATTCTAGCTTCTAAGAAATAAGGCTCCCTGACCTGGAAATGTGAAACAGCAGTCCCCTAATAAGGTGGAGAACTGGTGCCAGTTTTTCCAGGCTATCAGATGAGCATCTTTCATATCTAGGGCATGGATAATAGTAGGCTTACCCCATTTCATTATATCTGAAATTCTGCAGTGCTTTTGCTTACACCCCAGGGCCGCCTCTATAATTTCAGCTTGTGCCTTAAGATGGCTCTCCCCTTGATAAATCATGCTGGTAATGTGAAATCACTTTTTAAGCTGGGAAGGAACTGAATGTGTAATCGAAAAGCTGTACTCAATTTGCTCAGCCCAAGAATCTGACAGTTCGAAGGGTGGAAAAGTGCTTCTTACCAGGAATGTGTTGTGAAACGGATTAGAAAATCAAGGCTGTTACTGCAGATGCTACTTTACAGGTCGTGAGTACCCCCTGACACCTGCCGTATAACCCCATCATTTGGCTGAGAGGGGACTGTCTACAGTTTCAAGTTGCCTTAATTATATTTTCCCCCAAAACTACAGATAAGAATTGGGATTCAGAGTCAATTCCCTTCTCCTTATTAATCTATGAAGAAAATGAACCTATTTACCAGGTACTCAGGGAAGTTAGAGATTTAGCTAGATTTAGTAATACCCTCTAACAAAATGTTGGCAAGAATAATAGAAGCAATATATAATGTGATATTCTAAAAGTGTGTTCAATTATGCATCAGATCAAAATGGAATATAAATTGTATGTGAAAGCATACACAACAAAAAGATTCCCTGATCCACTCACTTATACACAGCCATATTCAATATGTCAGAATTCTTTTTTTTTTAATTTTTCTTTATTTTTTCAAATTAATATAAGGGTACAATTTTAAGGTTATGTTATTCTCACTTCCAGGGTAAAGTTCCATTTGTAGAAGAGCCCCTCACCCAGGGGGCATGTTATACACCCTCACAACATGCCTATTAGGTGAGATCCCGCCTCATGCCCTCCCTCCTTCTGCCAAATGTCCTAAAAATATGGAACACTTCACGAATTTGCATGTCATCTTTGCACAGGGACCAGGTTAATCTTCTCTGTACTGTTCCAATTTTAGTATATGTTCTGTCAAAGCAAGCACAGTAGGTCAGAACTCCGACATACTAAGAGTACTTAATGATCTCTTGAAGTTTGTCAATGTGGGTCTGACAGGTAGTCATAAAATAACAACAATAATAACACCTAGCAGAAATGCTTATCATATGCCAGAGGCAAAGTTAATCACTTCCATGCATTGTGGAGTTGGCACGAAAACAAGCAATCAATCAATTTATGTTAGGCATTGTCACAGTTATCTCATGTAACTGTTACAATCCTATCAGTTACATACACTTATTATATACATTACCATTTTGCAGATGAGGAAACTGAGGTTCCAAGACTTTTGATAATTTGCCCAAGCTCCTACAGCAGTATGTGATAGACCTGGGCCATCAACTTACTTCTGCCTGAACTGGGAGCCCGTGCTTTGCTCTGCTATGCTCTAGTGCCTCCCTGCTGCCCACATTGTCCGTGTTCAGGATGTATTCGTCCATGTAGCAGAATTAATTATGTGACTGAAAGTAAAGCAATCATACAGATTATATGTGCACATTTTACCATTATGGTTAAGGGTGTGGACTTTAATACTAGCCCTGCTATTTCTCAGATGTGTGACCTTCCCCAAGTTACTTAACCTCACTGTGTCTCCATTTTCTCACCCGTAAATGCAGATAATAATATAATACCTCCCTCATAGAACTGTTGAAAGAAAAAAGTTAAAGTCCAATGAGCTTTCTATAAATACTACCAATTATTATTACTAAAAGTACTTGCTACTTAAATATACGTAGGCTCTCTGTGGCACACTTGCCTAGACAGTGTTTGTTAGAAGAACAAACATCTTTTCAACTTGGAAAGGCACCATCATCCTAGCTTGTGGCTGTAAATTCTAGAAGACTGAGCATGCCCCAGCCCTGGGAGTGATGATGGGTGGAGAGAGCCTTAAGCCACAAGGAATGGACAGTCTGTGGTATCAAGTATGTTTTGCCTTTGGGAGTTGCAGACACTGATGACCACGTGTGAAGACCACTTAAGACCAGGGTCCATTTTACACAGAGCACACATTAGACAGCCATTTCAGCTATAGCCACAGCTATTGCATTCATAACCACTCCTAGTTAGGGAGGAGGCTCTGCCTTCATTGGAGAGATTTGAGACCTGCCAGGAGAGATCAACCCCAGATTCATCATTCCACCATCACAGCTTCACCTTTCTACCCTTCGAAGGCGCTTTCTCCTGAAAAATCCACTAACGGGATTTAAATATGCCTGGAGGGTTCCAAGCCTCAGCAGAACCCACCTTGATTGGCTACTCAGCTGTCATCCTCTACAAGCTTCCAGATGAAAAGTAAAGCACTTCCAGGAATTATATCCAGGAGAGCGAGGGAGCAGGCAATGAAACCAACATAGGGTTTCTACTCTGGGGTAGGTCTGTCTCCAAGCCCCCCGGGCATCAACACTACGTCTTGCCTATGAAGAGACAAGTTCAATAAAATTGTTAACTGTGTGTTCCTTGTCTATAAGAGCATACAGGAAAACTTCCGAGGCCAATGATACCCCATCTTATCACACCCACCTAATGATTACAGGAATAGTCTCGGACTTCCCAGAATGAATGAAGGGCCTGATTATTAAATTATGTTTGTCATTAAACCCTTAGGGATTGACACATTTAAGTCTAACTAGACATCAGCAACTCTCCTTGACAACTGCTGCTGGGGAGGTGACTGTTCAGTAATCCTAAACATTTCTAGACAGAAACACACTCTTACCATGGGCTGAGTTATCAGGGCTTAAAGAAATGCAGGTTCTTCTCAGGCAGGTTGAACTACCGTCCCTCTGTTAATGGTACTACCTTCAAATTCTTGGATGTCAATTTTTTTCAATTATTTTTAAGATGAAGAGACAAGAGGGAAACTGAAGTTGATGCATATGATCCTAGAAGAAATTCTCTCTCCTGCTCTTTGTAGATTGAATGAAAAAGTTTCCTTACCCAACAAAAAGACATTCAAGATTCATATACCTAAATGTTAACTTTAAAAACTAAACTTTTATCTTCTTTGCTTTTCTTTCCTCTAAAGAATGTTTACTCACTTTTTAATATAAAATGTTGTAATTAGTTTTCACAAAACAAAACCTTATTGCCTTGTGGGTTTTGATTTTGTGAGTTACTGAGGAAGAAACTGATTATTGAATGTTGTGCTGATACCTGTATGTCTCCTTGCTCAATCCCCCACCCTTGAAAATCAGGTCTGGATTTCTCAGGCCTGTCCTGTCTGTTTTGTTTTCTAGTTACAGACCTATAGGGGTAGTAATGATGTATAAGAATAATGATGACAAACAGAAACCAGTTCAGAATGGTTTCCTCCTTCTCCTTTCCTAATGCAGTGTGTAGAATTCACAAACTATTAGCCTCAACCAAGGACCCAACTTTTGCCAAAGCCTGAAGCACTTTGGTTTCTCCTTACTGGGGAAGCCCTCAGAGGGAGGACACAGGCATATGGCAGTGACAGCTGGCTCGGGGGTCCCAAACGCACCTGGAAATCTCCTCTCCTGGCTGCTAAGGAAGCACACTTTGGAGCTGGGATTTGGCTTGGCATCTTGGATTATCCCTTCCTAGGGGGCTGTTCCTAACTTGAAAACATTGTTTCCTAGCCTCTGCTTCTCCATTTATAGAACTACGGATTGGAAGAGGTCCATCACAGATTTGTAATGAGAATCAAACAAGACCACATATGAAAGCAAATGGCAAAAGATGTTTGATCCATGTTAATTTCCTGCCTCCGCTCTGGCAAGTGATTGAGTTTCCAGCTTTCTCTGTAAACCATTCTCCTTTTCAGAATCTTAATCTAGTCTTGTCCTTGGCTGCCAGCCTCAAAGGAATTATGATTTATGAAGGTTCCGGGCAGAATGATAAGTCAAACTTTTTTGTAGCTACCAGCAAGCCTGACTTGAGCAATACATACAGAACCATAAATATTAGGTGTATGATGTGCTGAATGGTTCTCCCTCCACACACACGAAGACATGCCCATCCCCTCATCCCTGGAACCTATGAATGTGATCTTATTTGGAAAAAAAGAGTCTTTGCAGATGCAGTGAAGCTAAGAATCTTGAGATAAGGAGACATTCTGGATGATCTGGATAGACCCAAATGCATTGACAAGTGTCCTGTAAGAGACAGAGGGAAATGACGCAGACATGACATAGAGGAGGACGTAATGTGACCACAAGAGAGAGACGGGGGTGTGGCTGCCCCAAGTCAAGGAATGTGGACAGTCACCAGAAATCAGAAGAAGCAAAGAGCAATTTTTCCCCTAGAACTCCAAAGGGAGTGCAGTCCTGCTAGATTTTGAACTTCTGGCCTCCAACCTAAAGAGAATAAATTCCTGTTGCTGTAATCTGCTAGATTAATGTAATTAATGTAATCTGCTAGAATAAATTCCTGTTGCTGTAATACTTTGTTACAGCAGCTACAGGGAACTAACACAAGTTGCTATCATTACTATTAATAAACATAGCTTGGTTTTCTTTAATTTTAAATACTTACTTTTTAGCCTTGACAGAGAAAAGGTAGAAAAGTCTCTGCTCTTGGCAGGAAAGGTTTCTAAGCAGAGCCCTTACTGAAACAGTGGTGGCTGAGATGGGAGTCAAGGTAGACAGAAGCGTCCCTCAGAACACTAGAGTCACGTTCAGTCATTCTGCTTCCAATCGCCAAACGGATCCTGTGAGGACTGTGGAGAAATAGGAAGAGAACTGATCGTTTTCTTTTTTTGAGACAGAATCTCACTCTGTTCCCACTGGGAACAGCAATGGCTACCTTAATTGTAAACCAGATCACTTTTCTTTATTCCGACTCACTCAGCTTACTTTTTAATTTTCCTCTTTTTCCGGAGGTGCTTTCCCTTGCCAAGAATGGGGCCTTCAGTCCCCATTCTCCCTGTATCCACTCTTGCTGAGGCCAGTCTCAAACTCCTGAGCTCAAGTGATCTCCCACCTCGGCTTCCCAGAGTGCTAGGATTACAGGCAGGAGCCACCACACCCAGACCAAGAAATGATATTTAAAGAAAGTGTTTAGCTTCACACTTGCCTGTGAGTGCATGTATGTGCCAATACATTTGATGGTCTTACCAGTGGAGGATTTTTCCAGCCCGATCGAATAATCACCCCAAATCCAGTAAACAGGGATAATGAAGTCACCTTGTGACTCCACCCTCCCCCCCAGCATCATATTCTTAAATCAAAATCTAAAAGGTTGGCTCAATTCTCTGACCTTCTTTTAAAAGTCCATGTATCACCATTTGGCATCTTTCAGTTTGACTCATTAGGGATATTGTGTTCTTTTCATGAGTACACAATGAGCTAAGGTTCTCTCAAGGGTATAGCTATGTGCTTAGGAGGGAAGGTTTAGATTTTCTTCTTAGTTCTAATCATCGACAATTAGCTTTCTCATAAAAACAAAAAAAAAAACTATTTTGCTTTTTCCTAGGGGTGTAGTACAACTGGAAGATCCGAGTACATCAAGAAAAAAATATCAAATTGAATGTAAAAGTGATATTGAGAGTAGTTTAGAACTTCGAGTGACAGTGGGGTGCCTTAGGTGCCTGTGCTGTTATTAGGATTCAGATTTGGGGCCATTGTCTTACATCTTAGTTCAAGGTCACAGGCTGGGGACAGGCAAACAGACCCCAGCAACTATTACATAATGCTGTGAGTCCCTTAGCTTGTTTGCAGTTCCTTTAGTAAGTACATGACCTTTTATCTAAGTCAATACTCCCTCTTTTTTCATTTCTTCCACTTATTTGATACATTCTTATTTTCTTTTCCATAAAACACAAGAAAGCATCAGATAGAAAGCCCTGGTAGCTATTTTTTACTCTACTTCTTCAGAGGAAAGTTTCATACACGCACCTCTGCCTCTAAAAATAATCTCCCCCTAGAGACTAAGCGGCTTATCACAGGTGAGAATACTAACTTCACTTGTTTCTGTACCTTTGTTTCCAGCACACACAGGTACTGGATAAATAGTAGTTGGATCCTG